TTTTTTAAGAACAGACGTGCTCCGATCTACTCGTGGGGAGCAGCACGGCTGGGAATCGAGCCCAGCATCCCCTATTAGGCAAAATTGTCAAAAAGAAACTTGAAGACAGTTCGTGTGATCACCCTTCGCGGCACGCAACTTATCCAGCGATAATACGAAGTTTCGGCAACTACAAAAACTTGGGGGCAATTCAGTAATGTGCCCCGGAATTATATACAAGCACCACTATGGCCTGTCTCTCAATCCGTACAGGAATGGGCGCGGAACAGATCTTAGTTCGTCGCGTCATCATGCCTCGTATTGTCTAGGGAGAAGGTGAATATCGGTGTGAATAACCCTTGTGGTGGCACCGAAAACTAGGTATGTGATCACGAGGTGGTGGAAGCAAACAAACAAGTGGGGAAACAAATGTGATGGAGGTAAGAAGTTCACTTCTGAAGAAACAAGTATGATGCTAACCAAACAAACAAGTGGGGAAACAAATGTGATGGAGGTAAGAAGTTCACTTCTGAAGAAACAAGTAGGATGCTAACAACAACAGAACTCAACCCAGAGAGAAATGACCATGGATAAAAAATAATTGTAATGTAATGGCATCCACCAGCCCTGTGACTCCTTCCAGGCCTTGACACGGGCGATGCAGGCCTTCCAGCTGGCCTCAGAGATGAAGATCAACTGGTAGAATACAACCCGGTGGAGGATGGCGAATACAGCGGAGCCCCTGCGGGAAATTGCACCAGAACTCTTCGGGTGGCAGGAGCGACATACTCTGATGCACTTCTTGGGGATCGAGCTGACAACCGAAGGCGCCGGAGATCCTGACCAAAATGATCACCAAACTGGATGCCTAGTCGCACATTTAGACCTCAGCGGTCAGCAGGGCCCTTATCTTAAATGCCTTCATCTTCTCCATGCTTTGGTACGCAGCTATGGTCTGGACCCCGAAGTGGGCATGAGGAGGGCACTTAGAAGAAGAGCTTCAGCCTACTTGTGGACAGGCAAGCCAGTGAAACAAAGATTTATCCCCAAGGTTGCATGGAGCTATGTGATCCAACCCAGGGCAAGGGAGGGACCCGGAGATTCAGACAAAAGCACTGCAGACCAAATGGGTGCATAAGCTTCTCACCCACCACAACCTGCCCTGGACTGGACTGGCCTTGCATAGAATCAGGCAGCTGCCAGCGATCCACACACCCTGCAACATGCAGGGCCTGTTTTGGATCATGTCCAAGTCGTGTGCCGGGAAAAGACAAGCAGCAGCAGAACAAGAACAACATCACGAGCAGCGACGGGCAGGCAACAGAGAACAAATACTGGATGCAGTTACTGCAGACGTGGCGGGAAATCTTCCCGGCCAAGGTCAGGCCTCCTACAACCAGGGAGGAGGCGCTCAGGCAACCCCTTTTCTGTAACCAGTGGATAATGAACACGGATCAGAGACCTCGGACACTGACGGCTAGGGGCAGCAGGTGGGCGACGTTGGTGGGAAGGGGCGTTTGGCAAGTGAAACACATCTGGCACAATGAGCAGAAGTGGTGGAAGAGTCGTGCCAAACTGTGTGAGCACCTGAAGGGATGCCACAACCTGCAGCACAACTTGAATGATCTTCTCTTGCCAATGCCACCGGCATGGCCGGCGATCCTGGCAAAGGAGCTAGATTGGACAGTAGGGGACTGGGCGACCTGGGACTGGGTGAGCACCCGCCCTCGGTGGCATTGTCGTTTATCAAGAAGGTGGGACCAGGAGGAAAGTGGGGACTGATTGGGCTGTACTATATACAAGAAGTGGGTCAGACAACCACCGGGGTGAGTAAAACATGTTGGGCCCAGGCAGCAGTCAAGCTCACCCGCCTCTGAAAAGTCCGGGTGGTGGAGGACGAAGAATATAGGATCTTTGGGACAGACACCAGTACAAGAGTTGGAAATCGACCCGGCGGAATGTGCATGGAAACCAGGACGGGTAGGGTGGAGCGCCGGGTAAGCATATTGGACTATGCGACAAGGCTGGGCTACAGACTGAGGTGCAGGTCAGCTAACACGTGGAGTACACTGGCCCAACGTTGGGAGAGAAACATACCTGGATCCCTTGGCCACTTGACCCGGATATCTTGGAGCTCAATCTTGGCAATCCGCAATACCAGGGTTAGAAGCATGCAATGGCTGATAACCTACCATGCACTCCCGGTTAACAACTTGCTCACTAGACATAGGGCCCAGGCCAACAGGCAGCCCTTCGACGACCTCTGTTCCATCTGTGAGGAGGGAGTGGTCGGGGATATTACCCACTGCATGTTGTTCTTCCCCAACGCGGAGCAGTTATGGAGCTGTACCAGAGATCTCTGGCGGCAGACCACCAGCGGTGACTGGACAAGGTACACTGTTCCCCCTTCTAACGGGGTTCCAACGATCAGGCAGTCTAGAGAAGTGGGCGTAGAACTTTTCCGGGAAGCTTTGGCCCATTCACACTCTGGGTGATCTGGAAAAGAAGATGCAGAGAAACCATTGAAGGGCAGAAGGTGGCACCTGAGAAGGCCTAGGAGGATCTCAGAATGCTTCCGGACACAGAATATCAAGCGAATTGGTGGAAAGCGGTGAGGCAAATCAAGCAGGAACCGGGGAAGAGGCAGGAAATCCTGGACAAATTTATGAAAGGCACCCTGGAGAAGTGAAGAAGCATCGAGGGGCTCTGGCTTATATGTGCATGGAGGCAGGGCACGTAGTCAGGCGATTCCGAAAGCCTATGGGAGGAAACCCGGTCTGAACCTGGTGGGGTAATAGGGGCAGAGGCCAGCATAGCGTCTGTCTAATCACAGTGTTGGATAGGGCCGAGTCCAGGGTAGAGTGGAGATGTGGGCTCTCCCAAAGCAGCCACGCGAGCGCAGAAACCTGGTTGTTTGTCTGGGAGTCGGCGGGAGACTAATAAGTAGTCAGGGGTTAGGCACACAACTGCCGAGGTATCCCCGGGGCCAGCACAGTTTAGTGCTGACATTGGCACTCGGGGAGAGGGGCGTAGAAGCATGCCAGCATAAGGTAGCAGAATGATGGCAACCATGGAACTGTTTTTAAGAATGTTTTATTTCGGGGGTACATCGAGGGAGGGGTCTGCATCAAGGAATGGGCTTTACTGACAGTTAAACCATCCTTATAGGAAGGAATCAATGCTGTCAAGGTTCCCCAGGCTGAATGGGCTTTGCTGACAGTTAATCCTTCCTTATAGCCTTTATAGGAAGCAATCCATGCTGTCAAGGTTCACCAGGCCGTAACGAGGGGAAGCGTGTTGGAGGCGGTTCCCAGCACGTGCTGCTCCCACGAATAGATCGGAGCTGTGTTTCAATAAATATTTAAATAAATGAATAAATAAATAAAAATTGTAATGGCATCTCTGCAATTAAACCACCAGTACTTTGCCCAGCCATTTTGTTCCGGCGCGGCTGTATAGGTGCCATGACTTTTAGAGCTTGGAACCCCAAATTGAAACGGCTGGTATCACCATGGAAAATGAATTGATTTCACGCCTGCCCTGGTTTGGCACAACTTGGTATGTGGTGGAAATAGGCACCGGGGCTCGGAAGTATTGGTGGTTTAAAGTTTAAACCTATTTTGCTGAACCTCAGTTATGCCTGAGGATGGACTTGATGAGCCTCCAGTGTCCTAGAAGAAGAATGGTGGTCACTAGAACAAACGACGCCTGCCAACCTGGACCATCATGATCGCGATCTGACAGCAGACTCGTGATGGTCCAGGTTGGTGGCAGTTCTTTCTGTGGCCGTGCTGAACTGTCACTGGGCCGATGCTACCTTCGTCCCCGGAAGACAACTTACGGCAATTATAGATGTATTTGGGGTATCTTTCAGTCTAACTACAGTTATAATGACCATATGTTGTATTCGGGGGAAGAAGGTAGTCCCTAGCCACCTCCCTCATCTTCCCAACCTCGGATAGTGGCAGTTTTTCAGCAATCAACATGGTGACATGGAAACTAGTCTGGTGGCCTGGTAGATGATGAACTCTGAGACACCTGCAAGGAATCACTTGCTGAATGTGGTATGGGATTCCAGCATGGACATAATGGTTCACAAACCGAAAGCGGCCGTATGACAGGGAAATAAAGGTAAAACGGTCACCAAAGTTCTGAACTGGACTGAGCGAATGTTTGACTAACTATTTTGTAGAGTTGGTCGGTTTCTCGTTGGAGCCCCCCCGGGGAGGACGGCCCCTACCCCTGGGCCCCTGTCCCACGCCCATGGGCCGTTTGTAGGGCCTGCGCAGTTGATCCCCTGGATCTCCAGGGCAACGAATGCTGGTGGGCCCGTCTGTAGAGTATATGTAGTTCTATGGGACACTGGACCCGGTTTCCAGCCGGTGACGCTCCCCACCAATAGATCGGAGCACCAGGCAACAGGTTTGCTTCAGGGAGCTGCTCTTATCACTTCCTTTAGCAGGCCGAGTCTGGCCGACGCTGGTGTTTAAAAAAAAAAAAAAAAAAAAGAGTTGTTCCAGCAAGAGCTTGGGTAACTTCTGTTTGGACGTTTCAGAAATTGGACGGCAACTGATGATGTTTGGAGATGTGAGAATGTGTCGTTGATGATGGGGCGAACATAAAGGACTTGAGTATTCCGGGATGGAGAGGTGGTTCATCGTCCTCCTGTGGAGAAGACCACTTCAAAAAAAAAGAAAAAAAGAATTGTCTGAATTGGACCATTTCTCGATTTATGCGTGTCATCCTTGCGCGGCGGCCATGCTAATCTTCTCTGTATTCTTCCAATATTAACAGATGTCCCAAAGGACAGAGCACCACATTTTCTGACATTGTTGGTGCCCAAGCTCTCTCTGCGACGTTCAGCCTCTGCTGTCTTGTCAATCGTGAGGGAATGTTCCTTGTGAGTCAAAGATTTGACATCCTCAGTTGCATACCTTTCATGAAGGGGCTTGATGATCACCAAGCTTGATCCCTTTATTGAGAAGCAATCTATTGGCCCTTGTTTTGATTATGTCAGTGAGCAGAATAGGTTCTACAAGAAGGCAGCAGCATTTGTGTTAAGGGCAGTGGCAAAGCATTCAGCACCTCTTGCGCAGGCGGTTGTGGATAGTGGAGCCCTTGATTCACTTGTGCAGGTAACAGAAAGGTTGTCATGTCACCTTTTTTTTTTTTTTTTTTTTTTTTTTNTTTTTTTTTTTTTTTTTTTTTTGAAGCCCCAGGCGTTGTTGAGGCCAAGGACCAGACCCGTGGTGATTGCTGGCAGCAGCAGCCAATGGTTGTCCTGACAGGATAGACCACCTACCCTATCCATAGCCACGTTAATACTCCCAGCACACCCCCTGTCCCTACTATCCTACCTCAGTGTGACCAGCACTCGGGACCATCACCCTACCAGTATCGAGGGCAACTTGGACCAGACAGCAGTGACAAGCACCAAGGCTGGGCCAACCCCCCAGCCTTAGTGGAAGCGGAAGCGGACGAACCTTGCCGTACGGGAACTTCTGACGCCAGACTCGTTCTACAGGCCCAATTCAGAGTGTCTACCCAGCAGGAGTACCTAAGCAAGGCAAGCCAGTGCCCATGGGCACATCCTACCGTCCTTCCCCTAACTTACCCAAGGCTAGGCGGAACTCAGACTAGCCGGAGTGACTTATATCCCTACCCTACCCTAGAGCTAAGCCATGCATGAGTAGACCCCATCATATACCTGATAGACCCCTCCAGCCCGGTATCAAAGTTGTGTGTTTGTATGAGCCCGTAGGCTATGTGTATATATGTTCACGAGCCATGTTTGTGTCTGCCCGAAGGCTATGTGTGCTTTGTGTAACTGTATAGTTAGATGTATGTGCCTGAAGGCCAGATATGTGTAGTACTATGTAGAGGGAACTATGTGTTCGTTGAAGAGATGACAGGCCAAGCTGGACAAGAACCCCCCCAAAGTACTATGTGTTTGTTGAAGAGATGACAGGCCAAGCTGGACAAGAACCCCCCCAAAGTACTATGTGTTTGTTGAACAGATGACAGGCCAAGCTGGACAAGAACCCCCCCAAAGTCTCAAGCCAGACTCGAACCAATGATCTATGACATGTGACCTGAAGAGTCTATCATTTGAGCAACAATCGCAAACGGCACCTGTGTGTGATATGCCAGACTGGGGAGATCAATGCCAGACTGTGGAGATCAACAGAACAACCACGAGCAACAGCCACAAGCAACCCATGCAGTATCAAGACTGGACATACAACACCATGGACAACCCTTGGGTGGTATGCAGGCAGTGTCTGTAATAGCTTACCATGCGTCAGCCCAAGGGTGTGTGTGTCCAGCCGTGCATCATTCTAACGCCCTGCCGGTGTCCATGCGCAAGGCTGTGGATTTGAACCCGCAACCTCATACCACAATGCGCATTTCCAACCGGTGCTCTAACCGTTGAGCTACATCAACTGGACCTTTGAATACCGTTTCTCTTTTTCTTTTTCAGGTTGTGGAGGTTGGGGATGTTTTGACAAAAATCACTTTGTTATATGTGCTGGAAACCAGGTCCAGCATCCCTTACATCAAAAACACACTCCACGCGTTCTTCTGTTGTTATGATTTAAAGTTTAAACCACCAGTAGATAGCCCCAGCAACTTGAGACTTACGATCGAGTCGCTCTGAAAAATCCGGAGGCTTGGGGCAACCGGACCAACGTGGCTGGCGGCGCCGGCAAAACCGAAACAAAAAGAGACGTGCTGCCAGTTAACAAATGGCTAAATAAGAGACGCAACTTACAGTCATGCTCACCCTTGCAGGAACTCTGCGCAATCTGTCAAGAGGGCAGGGTGGAAGATGTGGAACACTGCCTGCTGATTTGTCAGAAAACTAAGCAGCTCTGGTTGAAAGCGATCGAGCTATGGCAAAAGATATCAGGCAGGCCTCTACCCGCCGACACAGTCCTTCTGCTGCTGGGACCGCACACACCCCCTGACTGGCAGGGCTTTGAGACTATATTCTATCACATACTCAGAAGGGATTCACTTTGGACGATATGGAAGCTCCGATGTTAAGAGAGAACAGATCGAACACCAATGCCGGTGCAAGAGGCGTGCAAAGGAATACTACATTCAGTACAAGTAGAATACAGAGTCCACTGGAAGAAGGCTTGCAGAAAAATAGCAGAAAATATAGAAAACAAAGATAAAATTACAGACGCCTTTTCAAAACAACTTACTAGGAAAAGGGAAAATAGCTTCAGTATCCCACGGTCGAATCGACTTCGGTCAATGGAGACAAAACATACTAATCCCCAGACCAAATCTTTGAGTTGCCCAGACGTAGGTCCCACCTTACTGGTATTACCTTAGGAGATAGTTAAGAAAGGGCGGAACCTACTACAGTGGGGATCTTAAAGACTTCACAGGAGTCCCATAGGGAACCTAAAGTATTGGCAGAGAGGAATCACAGACCCCTGATCAGAGGTACTAGACAAGGACACATACCTAGAAAAGTAGGTCAAGAGACCAGGCTTAAGGCACTAGGGTCAGGATGTACACCTACTAGGGCGACGATTTGAGCAAATCCCCCAAGGAGAGTCCAATTCACGCTGTTCCAAGGCCAAATGAAGGATTCAAGATGAGCCACGAAGTCAAGATAAGCTGTCTACTAGGGCTTAGGGTTTTAGCAGGAAGGATAGGAAATTTCCCAGCTAGCAGTTCTAGCACTTAAAGCAATGGTGACAGCCAAGCAGCTGAGAGGAACGAGCTAGCCAGACCAGCGCCAGCAGGATACAGTTAGCAAGCAGGGGTGGAGGAGATCAGAATACCGTCTTCACCCAAATATAACGCCCGGTCATTATAGCTGTATTTGCCATTTGGGGCATTTTTCACTCCAGATGCAGCGATGATGACCGGGCGTTCTATTCGGGTGAAGACGGTAGGCCCGGGTAGGGCCTAAATTAGGTCCTACAGGCTAACTTAGGCGGGGGTGAGGGGTGGTACATCCTTCGTTTAGGAAGTAATCAATGCCGTCCTTCGGGCCTTCCCACCATAAGGGGGAGGGGCATGTGTGAAGTATTCATTGTAATTCTGTCTGACTTGCCAGTGGAATAGGAACCGGACTGATGCCCCCCAGAATGGAAACGGAGCCAGAACCTTGAGGTTCTGTTTAAAAAAAAGAAAAGTTGAAAAAAAAAAAAAAAAAAAAAACGCCGCGCTGATGTTTCGGCAAAATTTTGTGCGCAGTTGTACTGGTCCTTTGAGGAGCCTGTGACAGCGGTATTGATTACGTCCTTCTCAGAGAGAGGATCTGCCTCTTCTCTGCCCTTATCAAGCTCTCCTGGCCTATCCTCTCCATTCCCTCGGCTGCTCTCTGTCCTGCGGCTGGAAAGCGGGTCCAGTGTCCCTTTGTCTTTCCCTATACTGGAAACCGGGACCAGCGTCCCCTACCTCTCCTCTGCTACTCCCTTCCTAAGTCGATGCTACCATCTTCACCCGAATAGAATGCCCGGTAATTATCGCCGTATCTGGGCTGAAAGCTGTGCCAAATACAGCTATAATAACCGGGCGTTCTATTTGGGTGAAGACGGTAGGCTAAGGCTAAGGTCCAGTGTCCCTTTTGTCCTTTCCTATTCTGGAAACCGGGTTCAGCGTCCTTTGCCTGTCTTCTGGTACCCCCTTCCTTAGTCGATGCTACCTTCTTCCCCCGAACACAACGTTCCGTCATTCTAGCTGTATTTAGACTGAAAGATGTGTCAAATACAGCTATGATGACCGTACGTTGTATTCAGGGGAAGAAGGTAGGCTAAGGCTAAGTGAGCTGGACATGCTGTGAACTGAGTTGGCATCCTCGTCCTGGGCTGCCACCACAGCCCCCAACCGGTCCTGCTCCATTTTAATCAGATGTTCCCCTCTACGAGTGAGCTAATCCTACCCGCTCCTACAACGTTAAGGCCTTGCGGAAAAAAAATCTTGGATTTCCTGCGCCTTGTCTGAGTCCTCACATATTTCCCTTTTGGTCCTCTGCCCAGTCCGCCTCGTACTGTGTCTCAAGCGTTTGGAGCAAGCCCTCCCATGATTGTGTTAGGGCATTGCCTTTTGTCAATTGTTTCCTGACATCTCCTCTTCCAGATCGCCAACAGCATCAGCGGTCTCATCCTTTAAAATACTTTGCACTCATACCCTTCCCATTGCTTCGGGATTCCAAATCCTGGAAGTATTGCTGTATTGTGGGGTGGAAAGGGTTTGTTGGTCAAAGCTTGCCATAAGGCTGATGCCTTATCCCAAAGCTGCTTGGCCTCGGGGCAGGAGAGAAGGCAGTGCAGCACGTCCTCTACTTGACCCGTGTCACAGATGGCAGGCAGACGAGTGACACAACTCATCGAGTATGTTTCTCTGCTGTGCCTATTTAGCCATTGGCTCACCGGTAATGTCAGGTATGTGATCATGTGTATGTCGAATACAGGACTCGAACACAACATAAGGCTAATTGGGCTGGGGTAGTACGAAAACTTTTCACCACACCCCAGCACGAAGATCCCGGTGTACCCATCCACACTCATCTTACACAGCTGTCCAGACTGCCCATAGTATAATCTATATGGCGGTTACTGCGGGAGCACCCCATGTGATCAGCCACTGCATACTTCTTACCCGAGTGTTTCTTATTGCGAGTAGTAACCCGACTGAAGCCACTGCGTACTTCTTACCCGAGTGTTTCTTATTGCGAGCAGGGCTCCCCAGGGGATGCTGAGCAGGACTGAGAAGTCGATCTCTGGATGTTGAGCAGGACAGAGAGGTGAAAGTGAACCCACTGCATACTTCTTACCCGACTGCTTCTTATTGCAAACAGGGCTCGCCATGGGATACTGAGCAGTACTGGGAGTTCAATCTTTGGATGTTTCACCACCTCTGTTTTATTTATATTGCCTGCCGCAATTGATCTCCGCTGAGCTTTGTACCCGAGTGAAGCCACTGCGTACTTCTTACCCGAGTGTTTCTTATTGCAAGCAGGGCTCCCCAGGGGATGCTGAGCAGGACTGAGAAGTCGATCTCTGGATGTTGAGCAGGGCTGAGAAGTGAAAGTGAACCCACTGCATACTTCTTACCCGACTGCTTCTTATTGCGAACAGGGCTCGCCATGGGATACTGAGCAGTACTGGGAGGTCAATCTCTGGATGTTTCACCACCTCTGTTTTATTTATATTGCCTGCCGCAGTTGATCTCCGCTGAGCTTTGTATCCCAAATCTTCTGTATACTGGAGAACCAGGGGAAGGTTAAATCTTTAGGTTACCATGCCCATCCTACCTGGGAGCTTCCAGGCTCATTCCACAGGGTCTACTTCCAACTCCTGAATGGCCACTGGCGGGTGGTAGATCGTGTAATCCTCGTCTCTACTACCTGGACTTTATGCAGAAGATTCTTCTGACTGCCACCTCGGCCCTGCGGCTTCGCTGCACCTTACTTGTACCTGCAGCTGGGTCTAGTATATCGAGTGTTTCAAATGATATCCAGTCACCACTGGGGCTTCCTTGTGAGGCGAAGGCCAGTGCTGTTTGTGGCTGTTCTTCAGTCGTCATCGTGGCCCAATTCCCCGGTGATCATTTACTATTAGTTTTTAGCTTCCTACCCACTCTTCCAGGATTGAGACAAGGGTGTCATTGAGATTTGAAACGGTTTCACCCAGTTGACCTGACATTGCAGTCACAGAGATTCGATCCCTAGACCTGTGCCACAACCGTGTACATTGATCCTGTGCGCTGAGTGAGATTCGATCCCTAGACCTACCCTATACCTGTACATAGACCCTGTGTGCTGAGTAGGAGTTGATACCTAGACCTGTTCCACATCCCAGATTAGTCTGTAGTTTGGGCAGTAGGACTTGATCCCTAGGTCTGTAGATTAGCAGCTAGGTCTGTTACCGATAGGCTTACGAAGTCTGTTCTAGAAGTCTCTACGAAGTCTGTGAGGACTGGAATCTGTCTGTAGGTCTGTATAGTCTAGAAGGTCGTAGG